AGAGGCTTCTGGCTTCCTTATTGCAGAAAGCAGATGACAGATTGTAAACAAGCGTTCGTGCGACTTTTTGGTCTAGCAGTACTCTCGAATAAAGACGATATAGAAACCTTAAGAGAGATTTAGCACAATCCTCATCTGATCCTTTCCAACTGCCAGTGGCAAACTGTGTAAGTCCAAAACAATTAGATATTGTGGAGAGGCCCAGATAAAAGTTATTTTAACTTCCCTTTCAGCCTGTAGAAAAACAGGAAGGCAAGAGAATTCTTCCAGAAAAGCTAACTTTTTCCCCCTCATAATGCCCATCAAAACACATAATGATGTGAGTGTATCCTCTGAACCATTTCATATCAGTTTGGTTCACTAGAAAATGATATATGAAGACAGATGGAAATTAGGCAGTGACAAACAAAATTGTACTAGGAAAATGTACTAGGATTGCATTAGGAAAATGTACTAGGACTGTAATAAGAAAAATAATTTTCTTTTCTGTAGTTGGTGTTGTGTGCCTTCAAGTCATTTTTGACTCATGGTGACCTTATGGCAAACCTACCATGGGGTTTTCTTGGCAAGATTTGTTCAGAGAAGGTTTGCCATTGGCTTCCCCAGAGACTGAGAGAATGTGACTTGCCCAAGGTCACCCAGTAGTTTCCAAGGCCAAGCTGGGAATTGAACCCAAGTCATGGATACTTGAATCTGCAGATACCCTCCTTTTCCAGAGCATGTCCTACATTTCAGCCTTCTGTCCTAGATGAATTTCAAAATGTCCTCCATTTGGTGCATGACTAAGAAGCATGAATTTACATTTATATTTGTGTTTTCAGCTTTTATTTGGTAATATCCTCTGTTTTTCTTGAATGTCCTACATTTTGTAGTGACTTATCTGTCTTTTCCAGTGATGACATCTGGCCATCCTGTATGAAGGTCCCTTTTATGAAAGCTACATGCCCTGCCTTTAAAGGTCTGACCCAACAAAGCCATTATGGGCAAAAAGTATAGGCATCTTTTAAAGGAAAGTGAATCCTTAGCATTCCTCATCTGCATTACAAAAGGCACAATTGCTTAACTGAAAGCTAGAATACCATCCCTGGGAAATGACAAGACTTCTCTTCCAAGTGCTCCCTATGTGGCATGAGAAAATTGTTAATCTCTGTATGCCTTCCCTCCCCTGAAACTTGGAGGCAACAATAACAAGTGTACCTTACATGGTTGTTAGTGTGAATGCATCTGAGGAACTAGACTTAAATCTACAACAACTCATGCTACCAATTTCCAGCAAATGCCATGCATAGGATTGCAGTTTTAGGAAGTGTGAAATCCACATCTATTTCAGTAACACTAACAACCATAGTCTGTAGAATAGTATGTAGAGAGACTTTGTAGCACCTTTGAGACTAACTAAAGAAAGAAGTTGGCAGCATGAGTTGTCATAGACTTAAGTCTAGTTCCTCAGATGCATTCACACTAACACCATGTAAGGTAGACCTGTTATTGTCGCTTCCAAGTTTCAGGGGAGGGAAGACAGACAGAGATTAACAATTTTCCCATGACACATAGGGAGCACTTGGATTTACATAGCAGTGCTATGCTATGAGTTCAGCAGGGCTTACTCCTAGCAAATGCCATGCATAGGACTGCAGTTTTAGGAAGTCTGAAGTCCACATTTATTCCAGTGACACTAACAACCATTCAAAGATATAGCCATGTTAGTCTGTAGAATAGTATGTAGAGAGACCTTGTAGATCCTTTGAGATTAACTAAAGAAAGGAGTAAGCCCTACTGAACTCATAGCATAGCACTGTTATGTAAATACACAATACTTGATAAGCATAGTATCTCCAAACCCTCTGAATAAATCTTGCCAAGGAAATCCCATGATAAGTTTCCCTTAGGATCCCAGACGAAATGACTTGAAGGCACAGTACAACAACAATTCATTGTGGTGTTCTGTTGCCCTCTTCTCTGATAACTTTTAGGCATGATGGCTATGACATTTTGTTCAACCTGGCTTTCAGCAAATTTGAATGTTTCCTGTTTGGATTTGTTTTTATCCTGTCATTTTGGATTTTCTAGTTTTAACTGTAGTAGCATTTTAATTGTTGTAAACTGGCTCTTTTGAGGCCCACGGAGCAGTATAAAAATGAAGTTTTAAAATAAATTTTAAAAATTGATATTGATAGATGCTACCATTTTTTATATATATATTTTTAGTTCAGTTTATTGAGAAATTTATAATGTATGGTGACTTTGCCCTCACAAGGCAATGTGCAAAAGATTATTCAAGAAAGCAGAACACTACATAATATCATCAGCTTAAAATCTATATTAAACCTCTGCCAAAATACAACTATTAATTACATGTAAACAGTAGATCCAGAAGAACAGTTTTAGCAATAGCAAGTACATTTCTATACCATTTATCAGTGCACTTAAGCACTTCCTAAGCCATTTACAATGTGTAAACCAATTGCCCCCAACAAGCTGGGTACTCATTTTAGCGACCTCAGAAGGATGCAAGCCTGAGTTGAGCCTGAGCCCCTGACTAGTATTGAACTCACAACCTTATAGTTTGTGAGTGAGTGGCTGCAGTACAGGCATTTAACCACCATGCCACCAGGGATCCTTTTCCTCAAGACTCCAGGAAGGGCTCAAATCCCTGCATGGTGTGAGCCTGAATTTTAAAAGAAAAGAAAAAAATGTTAACTTGTTAAGAATTCTCTTTCAAATTAACAATGATCAGACCAAACATATTTCCTGAGGAAGGAAATTTCACATGTGTAGGGTAATCACCAAAAAGGCCCTGCCCTGAAAAGACTCAGGAAAGTGTGGCATAGTGGTTTGAGTGTTGGACTAGAATTCTGAAGATCAGGGTTCTATTTCTAGCTTGGCCATGAAACCCATGGAGAGACCCTAAGCAAGTCACATGCTCTCAACCTTAGGGGAAAGCAATGGCAAACCCAAATCTTGCCAAGAAAACCCTATGATAGTTTCACCTTAGGGCCGCCATATGGCTGAAACAACTTGACAGCACATGATGACAATAATGCAGACGTGGTTCATAAAGTTCTATTGTAATTCATTCTTACTGTTAAGAAACTAAATGGCTTTTAAAGAGGTCCAGTGCTTAGTCCTATTACAAAGGTCTCGCTCAGGCTTTGGACATTGTTCATAGCAACTTTTTCTGGCAATGTTCCTTGTTCCTGTAAAATTAAATAAGGGACACTATTTCCATTGTGAGAGCAGAGTAGTATAGCAGTTTCAGG